CCTTATTAAAAAATGGAGATGCATAGCTAGTTCTGGAATACAGTTGAAGCAGAATAAACACCTAAATGGTCTACTTCATGCAGATGACGTAACAATACTGCAAAAAAGTGAAGATGATCTGCGAAAGGCTGTATACACACTGCATCAACTGGGAAGAAATGAGTATAATCTCCGATTATCTAAAAAGAAGACTAAAGTTATGGCCCATTACGGTAAATATCCCAAGATCTCATATCTCAAGAGTTTACATTTTCTTTTAATGACAATCAATATTGAAGATATTGCAGAAATATCGATGTATGTGAAATCATTTTGAAACCAAAAAGTGTTCAACTGGCGCTCTCTCCTGTGTATGGGGCCAAGCCAGATATTGCACCTCTCTCTTAGCTGTATTTCTGGGTTTACTGCATTTACTCTTTGACCCTTCGATTTAATATAGGAAACATGCGGTCTTTTGGTGGCGCAATCAGACAGGTGGCGCTGTCTAGCACTGCGATGCGACGGAGGTAGTCTCACTGGAATATTAATATTCTTTCTTCGTCTAACTCACTGCAACGTAATTTTATGAATTTTGCCTGTTATTGAATGTACACAAGTTCAGTCAATTATTGACGATATTCAATACATTGTTTATGGAATTTGAATAATTTGTTTTCGTTTAGTATTAGATTTGTTTATTCAAAACGTACATTTGATGAGTTCTTTGTGTAAAGATGACCGTTCTGTATGGAAGTCCCTTTATGTCTCTCGGAAGCCAGAGTGCCTGCTGCTGGCCAGCAGTTTGCGAACGTTCTTATGAATACGAATGAGTGTCGAAGATTTTTCATTATTGCCATATAAATCAGGGTAGTGAAATTTTCGAAATAATTTTATTTGTGTGAAACATGTCGAAGCAATAGTGTGCTGGAGTTGTACTTAAGTACCCAGTGGAAATCAAAGACAGAACCATTGCGCGGGAGGTGTATACACGCACATGCCGCATAAAATTATGTAAATACTGTTTCAATATAGACTTATTCAACTTTGTTTTAATTAATGTGAATTTCTTACATTTTTATTATTTATTCGTATTTTGAATTTTGGAATTTACATGTCTGTCATTCGATGGAGGTGCAACCTACAGTCTGATGGGGCACCAGCCTGCGTAGTATAGATAAAGTTATGTAATGCTGCGGAAAATCGATTTCGAGATTTCAACGGAATTTTTCTTTTCATTCAAAACGACCGTCCGCCCTTCTGAGAGCACCACTAGCGCCAAAACCATAAGTATAATTATTTTTCAAAATGGATATTCCGCGGTCGATCTGGCTCGACTCGAGGCGCTGCGATTTTGAAAAACATTCTTGAAAATTTGGGGGTACTCAAATGAAGCGGCTGGGACATATTGAAAATTTTCACAAAAATGGCTAAAAACGGTTTCTTTAATTATTTTGAAAGAATACAGTACAATACGCTTATAAAGATTGCATAGGTCCAATTTTTACCATTAACTCTCGAAAATTGCAAAATTTTGATTTTTTTCGTCTCCCTACAACTACAAAATTGAAGATAGATAATGTTCCTTCAAATGAAATTTGTTCTCTATGGTTAGGTCTTTGAAGAAGGCCATGTGTAATTTTTTGAAAATCTTAGTAGTTTTCGTGGTTTGCTTTTTTCGAAGAGTTGAGAAATTAATTTTCTTTTTTTACTCTGCAAGCTGTACATCAGTTTAAAAATTAAACTTATCCAGCTTTAAGTATGTGTTCTATTGCCAACTAAACACTATTATGTCTAGAAAAGAGAAAGAAGTCCAGGGCTAGTTTATGATCCTCACACAGAAGAACTGCTATTATCAGCTAGGAAGCCCCTAAATACCTCATGACAACAGTAATAGAAACAGACAACATTAATAGACACTGAGGACATCACACACTTCAAAACCTGGTGATCGAACTATTTTAAGAAGACAACTAAGTCCCTTGCTCGTCCTGGCAGTCCTCATTGTGAGCCTGGTGTGGTTCTTTCCAAGTATGTATGTATGTATATATATATATA